ATTAATATCAAGTCTGTATCAGAAAATTTAATCAAAAGCAAAATGATCCCATAATATGTACAGGAAACGAAACTGATAACTTGCATTATGTTTGTTAGTCAACATTTTGATCGAATTTTGATTATTTAGTAAGGAAGTTTCCATATTTTCTAAGCAGATATCGAGTAAAAGGATAAGGTCTCAGTTTTTGTTAAGTTATCTTCACTCTAAAAAAAGTTTTACTTGTTGTTTTTAAAATAAGATATTAGATTGAGAAAAACTAGTAATTATTAGTAATCCATTTAGTCAGAATAGCAAGTAAATGACTATCATGGTTAGTAATTGTAAACATAATTAGTAATAAGGATGAATTCATTTACTTATAAAATGATTTACTAAGTATCAATAGAGTTACTTAAATTATAGGAATTGTATTACTTTAAGTTAGTAAATGAACTACTCATTTTTGTTAAATTATTATTACTTAATTCAGAGATAATATGCTTTCTATTTACTAAATTTTATGAATTATTACTAAGTAAATGTAATTCTGAAATTAATTAAAATCTAGAATATTATTACTTAAAAGAATACTAAGTAAATGAAATACTTATCATATTTACTAAAATCGACATTATTTACTAGAAACACTGCAAGGTACCCACCCTCTGACATGTGAGTACTACTTACAGATTTCTTTATCAGAGTTCCCTAATTGGGCCCTCTGAATGGTTAAATAGAAGAAATCTACTTATGATGGAAACAATTATACTTTCCATTTCTTTTGCCAATTTCTTTGTAACTGTTTTATTATATATAACAATAAAACATTTGATTCCAACTTCGAAAGCCTTAAAAATTGAATAAGTTGTATTTTTTAAGGACCATTTTAAAAATGGTTAAACATTTCAAGTACTTAATATCGCATTTTTATTAGTGTGACTTTTTTTCACATGAAGGTATATTTAGATGAAAGATAACTCCTCCTCACAGACAATTAGTGATAAGACTACCATATTTAAGTAATTACTGATCTGAATTCTCCTTGATTTAGTAAATAAATTTTTGTTTTAAGTAAATCAATTAAATACAATTCAAACATGCAAGATGTGTTTGTGAAACACCTATATATGCCACTGTATGGCAACATAGCAAAGGTTAAACTTTTCTTAAATGCAAATTTAATTATTGGGATTTCTTGATATCTCCAAGGTCAAAAGGTCAAGGTTATTGGTATCTAATGAAAGGTCTTGCTACAAAAAAATACATATGTGAAATATGGAAACACTTGCCTCAACCCTTCAGAAGTTATGGTCAAGGTTACCAATTTTGAAATGTAGGTCAAACTCCAAGGTCAAGGACAAAGGGACAGAGTTGGTGGTACCCAAAGAAAGGTCTTGTCACAAGGATGAACTATGTTAAGTATGAATGCACTAACCCTAATCCTTTTAAAGTTACAGTCAAGGTTTGCTTTTTAAAAGTGGGTCAAACTCCAAGGTCAAAGTCAAAGTTCTTGGTATCCTATAAATGGTCTTCTCAAAATGATTACATATATGTAAGTATGAAAGCACTTTTCCCTACCGTTAAAAAGTTATGGCCAAGGTTAAAGTTTTTTCACAAGGATGGAAATGTCCAGGGTCAAGGTCAAAATTTCATAGTTGTTGGTATTCAATGAAAGTTCTTTCAACAAAAAATATATATGTGAAGTATAAATGTCCTGGTATTTACTGTTAAAAAGATTTGGATAAAGAATAAGTTTGAATTTTTTGTGTATAAGGTCTTGTCACAAGGAATACACGTGTGAAATATGAAAGTTATAGCTCCGCTAAATCAAAAGTTATGGGCAAGATTACAGTTTCTGCGGATAAACAGAGAATCAGAGAGACAGCTAGATAGACAGACGGAAACGACAAAAACTATATACCCACGAAACTTCGTTTACGGGGGCATTAAAATATTAATTATATAGTAAATAGTGGTAAAATGTAAGTATTAAAGACCAAGTAAAGTTATTACTTATATACACAAATTTAAGTAAATATAAATTACTAAGTAAAACTTTTTAGTGTGTAAGTAAAACAATTTTTTAAAATACAAAAATCAAGTAAAACATTTGAATCTAGTAATTGACATATATTTCAGTAATTGATTTTAAATTTTAAGTAAATGCTTAGTAATTATCTATTACTTATCTTTGTTATTTCAAGTAAAAAATGACTACTCAGTAAAACTTTTTTAAGAGTGTTCACATCACGATATAAACTATAATATATGTACAATATTATTTTCACTGGTCAAATTAAAATTGCAGATGTCTGAGTTTGCAAAAGTTGTCCCTTAGAACCCCCCCCCAATATCTATCGAGAGGAAGCTCCTTGTTTACCCACACTTTGCAGCTCTGGAATTAAATACCGTGACTTCACCACTGTTCACACAAGCCTACACATCAGCAGAAAGGAATATACGCCACTGTTTTCTAAATGTCAGATTAAATACATCTGTACATGAAATATATAGTATTATAAAAGGGTTTATATTGTACAGGACGACAATAATGTAATTCTGCTTCTATCAAAGCTTATAAAAAGTTCTTCCTTAGGAAATATTAACTATAGATATTAAAAAAAAGGTCTTTTTTGTCATTCAGATTGCTACAAAATTTTCTGACATCAAAATTGTAGCTCATATTGCTTTAAAATATTATATGGTATTCTGGCATCTTTCTATTTTCCCTTGTATAAGGTACTTACGTTGACAGTTATAACCTCCATATCCGGCACAACATGTCCGTCTATAGGACACGCGATATCGCCATAACGTAGCATAGTGAGTACTGTAAAAAACGTAAGAAACCATTTCAAGATGAAAAGTATGCCGTTTAAAAGAAAGAAACCCGACTTCACCTCAAAGTACTAAGAGCTTGGTGAAAATTAAAGGCTGTTAGATTAAATTTTTAATCGCGATTTAGTTTTGTTTGACCCTTCCATCTTCCATTCACTGAGCAATTAAAACCATCTAACGAATAAATTATCGGAACAGAAATGACATTCATCTTGAAGTAATAACGATAAGAAAACAAGATGAGTTTGTGAAACACTGATGCCCCCGTATGGCAACATCAAGCGAAGGTTAACCTTTCTCAAATGCAGATCAATTCAGTTTAAATCTCATTTTTATGCAGACATTTCAGATAACACATAAAAAAAAGAATCTACAATGAATGCATGATCAATTGAGTCATGATTCTCATTTTTAAAAAAATGAATATACATTTTATATAAAATTTACAAGCATAAATGATAGATCCACAGTTTATATCTTCTTGTATTTTCTCGTACACGTAACACCGTTTCCAGCTGTCATGACCTAAAAATATGAAAATACACACGAATTAGGCATTATTGTTGATATATTAACTATAGTATCTAGAATCAATATGAGTTGGAAAGTTAACGAAATGCAATGAATGCTGCTAATTTAAAAACTAAAATCTTTTCAGAACAAATATAGTATTTGAGATGTATGATATCCAAAACCTCTTTGTCATGCTTATGATGAAGTTTGAATACCAGTTTTAAATGAATTGGAATTTTATAAACATGTCCTATTTATTTAATTTCTCAGATGCACAATTTTGATAAGAGGACTGGAGCACATGAGTCGCAAGCATTCGCAGCTCTCTGTATGCGTGTGATTGGGGCGTAGGGGTGGGGGTTAATTTTTAAGTTCACTTCTGTGAAGTAAAACAGGTCATTCACTTCCAAATACCATTTTCACTCCACGAGCTACATTAAAATCATATCTCAATGTTAGGAATGTCCTAATCTCTAGTTCTTTGTTCTGTGTTCATATCCGACCGCTTATTTTTCTAATTGCATAACGATCGCAGAAGAAAATAAATGCTAACCAGACTCCACGATGATCACTGAACAAATTACAAAGGAAATTAACGTCAGACTCTGTGCTAAACATATGTTCTTCGTCTCTTGTAATTCCTCGGGTAAAAAATAAATCAGAACACAATAGTACTATTACAGAAGCCCATTTCTAAAATTTGATAAACGAATTACAATTCTTTTAGTCAAATTCAACAAACAGGGCCTATAGAAAAATATATACAAGTTCGATAGAATGATTTGTCGAAATTTTTTTATGAATTTAATCCGTTTTAACAAATTTAAGATTTCTTTTTCACGAATTTAATTCGTTATAACACATTTTTGAATTCATTATATAGAATTAAACAATTTTGTGATAACAGATTAAATGCAATACAAACAAAATCATAGAAATTGTTATTATGAGTTCAAATGATATAATACTATATATATATATATATATAGGAAAATATACTGTTAATAACTTTTTATTCGCGAGAAAATCTTTATTTTCGTTTTCTAGTTATTACGTAAAACTAAATTTTAAGGTGGTGAGTGTATGGATAGTAAATTTACTATTCTACGCGTGTTGAGAAAACTAACCTATAAATTTTATTTGTCTCGGTCAGTATATTCCGTTTGTTGCACATGTATTTATTTTATAAAGGATATATAAAACAGAAAACACAGCTCGCGAACATTTTTTTCTCGCTAATAAATACTAAATAGATATCTCGCGTAAATTAGGTGTCGCGAAAATGATCTACCGCATATAGGAAAATATCTTTAAAGTTGCAATGCATGCTCAATGATCCCCTTTACACTGAAAGGAATACCTAGTTCATTTAACTGTTGTGCCTATTGAAAATCGCTCGTTAATTATAGATTAACTTATGTTTTCTAGTCAATCTACTCAATACCTAGTAAAACTAAATTTTAAGGTGGTGAGTGTATGGATAGTAAATTTACTATTCTACTAGTTTTTTTTCCAGTGTTGAAAACTTTATAAAGTTTACCTTTCAGTTGTTTCAGCACACGTTTTTTTCAGTGTTGACCTATAAAATTTCAAAGGATACCTTTGTCTGTTTCTTACCATGTCAGCTATTAAATCAGCATTTGACTTTGACTTTACCCAGAAGGGTATCATTCAAATTTTATTATGGTATTTCCGGAAACTGTCCGTTTGTTGGTCGTCTCAAAACCAGAACCAGTCTGCTTTTCAATCAAAGTGTCTCCAATCCATTGTAATTTCAGACAGCCTTCAGAATAGAAAAGTATTATAAAAAGGTTTCCCCTTAATCGGAGTGTACTTTATCATTCGCGGACAAAATTTTCCCGAGAAGAAAAATAATAATAATAAGAAACAGAGTACTTTAGCTGTATATAGCATTTAATAGTCTGGCAGATGAGTGCTATTCTTCATAATTCTATTGTCCCATAAATCGACGTTCAAAATTTGAAAGAGAATACAACTTGCAAATAGAAAAGAAAACATAAACTCAAATCAATATGAGCTGCATTTTTTGACAATTTTATTTTGCTGTTAAAGTGTTGTATTATGATAAATTTGTATGTACATGTAACTTAAACCTTTATGATCGATTATACTAATATAAAGCAGAAGAAAGACTTCTATATACAATCCAATATACAGTTTTATATAAGAAATCATTATTGTACAGGACGACAGTAATCAATCGAAGCTTATAAATAGTTCTTCCATCGCAAATATGAGCAACAGAAGTTTATTAACGTTATTTTTTTCTGTCATTGAAAAAGTTAGTTACAATTTTGCAACAAAAAATTCCAACATCAAAGTTGCAGCTCATATTGCTTTAATGAAAGCAAATACCCTCTTACATTTTTGCAAAATTTCACATTTTTAGAACTAAACGACCCATGTTTTATAGATCCATGACAACAGCACCGATTTTTTGATAGTCAAATCATCATGCAGACTTGTATATCAATTTTCAAAATCAAAATCTATCACTATTACAGGGTTGAATATCTTCCCGAAAAAATGAATCTGATATGGGATTTCTTTTGGGTAACTCTTACCCCAGAGCCTATATATCTCCGGGAAAAATATTACTCTAAAGCCAGTTTTCCCTGGGGGTATATACATTGTACCTTTACAGGCCTTCCATCTAAGGTGTTGGTGTCGAATTCGGAACCCAGGCTGAATTTGGAAACCCTCTCTCCCCCGGGGGTGGTAATTTTGAAGACCCAGTCATTCCCGGAGTTGGTGATGTCGTAAGTTAGTTTGGAGGAATCTCCTAAGAATTTCTCGGCTTCTACTTGTTTATCATCACTTACACCTAATAATGAAGATACTTTTTCAATTTATGTGACAAAACGCATGCACATGTCAATTTTTAAAATATTGAATGATTTAAAATAAAATTAATATTGACAACATTTGAAGCATGCATTTGGGCCAAGTAGCCACACTTGTATATATATAATTTAAAGAATACACAATCGGGTCCAGTGGAGGGGGGGGGGGGTACTGAAAATGACTTGGAACGAAAATAAAGCTTTTACATTTAACTAATGGGGAACCACTTATTACACACTATGTGGCATAAGAGAATCATAGCATTATTTTTTCAGTATATATTTATATATATTTCATTGAAAAACTAAATTTTATGAAGGTTTACTAAATATACAATTGTACATGTATATGTAAAGAGAAAAAAATATATGAAATTATGACCCCTCAAGAAAAAAAGACAGAATCAGAATTTTCATCAGTCTCGTTTTATTGGGTCATTGAGACTGTTTTATTGATATCAACAGACATGGAACGTTTGTTGAATTTGCACAACCAATTAGCAAACATCATAGATCGATGTTTTTATCGACTGACTCCATTCAGCCAGACTTTATTTGCACAATGCAGTCATTCCCTGTGGATTTGTTTATAACGACCAAGTTCCATATCATTAGGCTGCGAAAAATATTAGTCGCTTTAAAAACCTCTACTATATATAGTTTATTTTCGTCTGATCATTAAAATACATGACATTGTATATTATTTTTCTCATATATTCCAAGCTCTCTGATTGGCTCAAACTTGATCACATGATCAATTATATAACAGCATAAAGACGAGTTACTATTTATAGATTCTCAAATGCACATCGACTTAATGCTTTTAAAAATGGAAATAATTTTCTGTAAAACAACATTTGTGCTGAATTCAAAATATCTAAGACAGAGTATGACTTGATTTTTCTAAAAAAACAAAAGTTTTACTTCAAATCTTTATATTTGTGATGCTCTGTAATAATTAGTAAGTCATATGATGCCTTGAAGAAGAATCTACTTTATGTCAAAACATTATAGATATGTTTTTTTCAAAAATCAATACATGTACAAAAGTTAATGAGACAAATTAGCCTTTTTAAAAAGGAAATCCCCTAAATTACTTCATCAGTACAAAGAATAACACACATTACATTAAACAGATTTTTTTTAATCTCTAGTCTCTGAGAGTTAAAAAAAAGACAAGAGAGAAAACTTGTGGTGATGTTGTCAATCTCTGTAAAAAAAAATAATATAACAAATGTAGCCCTTTAATTCGGTCAATCCATAGATCTATATGCATTTCTGTGAAGTCGATATATCTATGGATCGACTTCATCAAAGGGTATATCTATAAGATAAGATAAGATAATTTTATGTTCCAATTTTGGGCCCAGAAGGCATAAAGGTTTTTTTACAATGACAAGATAGAAAGTTCTGAAAGAAAGGTTAGTAAACATACATAAACATAAACACACACATGTGTATATCTGATATAATATATATACAAGTAACCGTACATGTAGATGCAGCAGTTGGGTTATCAAATCGCTAATTAACATGCGATCAAAATCAATATTATCAATATACATATAAACTAGTATACAAATAAATATGTGTCTATAACATCATTTATGAAAACTCATGGCATTATGCCTTAATTTGAAGGCTTTGACAAGATATTCACTTAGCTTTGTAATAATTAGATTGTCTTCATTAGATATTAACCAGAGAAATTTGTCTCCTTTTGATAATAATATGAAATTTTTGTTAAGTAATGAGATATCACGAAAAAATTTATCTCTCTCCTCAGTATATAATGGGCATTCAGTAAGAAAATGATATTCCTCTTCTATATAGTTTTGCTTACACATTAAACATATTCTTTTATATAATACAAAATTACTGCGGCATAGTCATGGTATTGGAGGTATCGGGGTTCGAGAGACCGGAGTTTTACTGTATTTAATGCCCGAACATATTTAATTTAAATCCTCCAACATTTCCTTATAGATTTCCTGAATGTTTGTATATTTTAAGCCTTTAGTAAGTATAAACTTGATGTGTGATCTTATATAAAAAGGAAACACAGACAAAAGACCCACTTCAACTGAAGCTTCAAGTATTCTTTCTCGTATTTTTTTTTTTATAAAAAGACAATTTAAAGGAAACCTTTTGAGTATGTATTTTAGCAATAATAAAGCCTATACAATCTGGTTTAAAAAAAAATCTTTAATAACATTATTTTAATCAGTTGTCCTAAATAGCCTGGTATGTACATGTAATTGTCATTTGACATCAGATGCACTTAATATACAGTACCTACAACCTAGCTTCTTTACCCTTACGTATACAACTAATTTCTGCTTATTCAGAATTTTGACAGTTAATTTGAAAATACCAGCATATCTCCTAAACTTATTGAATAAAGTTAAAGAGGCTGGGGGGTGGCAGCCATTTTTAGACTATTTCAATCTCCTTTAAAAGGAGAGCTCCATATAAAGATATACAAAAATGATCAAATTTTAAAACTAAAATATATGATTTTTTTCTTTGCCAAATGATAGTTGACAGCTAAAGATACCGTATCTAAAAAAAATAAGTTAAATCTGGTGGTTAATTTGGGATTAATTTGTTGACCCACCAGCCTCCTTAAGCTGGAATTTAAAATCGTTCAACAACCATTGCCTAGACCGAGGATATATAGTATTATACTCGATAAGACCAAAGGAAATAATTTTTTTTTTGTTATTCGTGTATGTCTCTGGGCGGGTAGGTTTTTATGAAAATCCTGAAAAGAAAATATTAAAGGTTTGTCAATTTTTCAAATTCAAATTCTAGTTTTTGAAAATCTTCAAATGTTTTTGAAACCTTTTAAAAATGACTACAGACCTCAATGAAATTAGGTATGTAAAACAGTTATTATTTACCCTGGCCTATCAGAAAATGCTCGAGAGATGCTCCTTAATAATCCGTTTATCTACTTCAAATAAAACATGTCTGATGTTTGTTCGGCGAGGAAATTCCTACTGCAGATGTTGTGTGTTTCTGATCTAAGTATTCATTAACCAGTTAAAAAGTTCAGACATTAAAAGAGGCGTTTAATTAAAGAAGAAAGCACTATCATCCACGGTGCGAAAGAAAGCGTGTGCGAAATCTACATGGTGCCTGAATGATACTTGGTCTATCTTGCGCATGGATTGTTAATTTCAGATTTTATCTATAACAGTGTTTCAGATAAGAATTTACACAAGTAGTGCCATACTATCTTTTACTCTGGAAAAGTAATCAAAATCAGCCTCATTATTTCGAAATACTCCCAAGTTTTCATATCGGTAAAATTCTTGTCATGTGAAATGTTATCATTCTTTTTTACATTTGAATATTTTTTTTCTATAAGCAACAATTAGTGATAAAATGGCCACGAGTGATACAGAATACAGAGATTATAATTCATTAAGCTAATGAAAGTACACATGTAATGTCATTCTCTGAAGATGGGCTTTGTTTCACCAATGAGTAGACTTCGTCCACGTGATGAATAATGACGCAGAATAAAACATTACAGGATAACATTACATAATTAAGGTAATTGCATCGTCATTGATCAGTATAATATTCTCTTTCTGTATTCTGATATGTATTATCATATTTCATTCATTTTTGCAAAATCAATAGGCATATAAACAGCCTAATATTGTTAACACATCCCTGTAGATAATACTGTGTGACAATGGATATAAATACTAAAGGGTTTTCTCTGGCGGGGTACGGAGATCACTACAGAAGTTTATGTATCTCATGAGAAATTTATTACTGGGATGAAGGTACATGTATTGTATCTTAAAGGTCACAGCGAGTTTCATTAAGGGTATTGCATGTGGGCCAAAAAAGTAAAGCACGATCCTAATGCTGTGATCTAGCAATACATTATAGCCAAACTGCACGTGTTTGTGTGTCGAAAGCAATTTTTGTGGATAATATCAATAAAAAAACACAAACCTTGTGAAATATTAATAGCCAATATTCTGGTATATCGTCAGATTATCATCAAATTGCTGCAACATTTCAAGAACACAGGAAATAAAATTCGTAGACAAGCGATTATCTACTATGTATTTTTTTTGTAAAGGATGTTTTATCTTCGTAAATATCTAAAATTAGTTAATTTTAGATGTTTATGATATTTTAGTGCTATAGATATATGTATGGCTTTTCTTGTCGATAAAAAGTAAGTTATGTCATCTGCATGCATGAAGAGACAATAACAAAATCCGTGGTCACAAATTAAATTCACAAAAAAGGGATTTTCAGTTGACTAATTAATACATTTGAGAATAAACTCCATCTTCAAAAAAAATTGTTTTTAAGATTTAATCAAATCAAATTAACTTATATTCAAAAGTTAAAACTTACCGATAGCTTTCATATATTCGCCAAAATTTTCACTACATTCAATCTCCCATTTTCCGTTAAACTGAGCCATCGTGAACAAAACAGTAAAACAGACAAACGGAGAGAATGTTTACAGCGCTGCCGAGTTTTGTTCGTTGTTTTATAGACTTCCTGCGAGGGTTGATCAATGATCGCACGGAATGGCTGTGTCAGCGATGATAGCATCTAAACATTAGAATTACCTGGACGTTAACTTTGTCCTAGTCGTCCAATCTGAGTACGTTTTATGGTACTTATTTAAGGTGGTTCTATACCTTGATCTGTTGATTTCACTCTGTATGTTTTTAAAGGAAGGTGTGCACTTCTTTCCGCAGTATCTTAATGAATCATTTCCTTATAATGTACTATTTTAAATTTTATAGGATATATTGCGAATTAATCAAAGGATTGTGAAATCAGTAAATAAATTAAATTGAAACCATTATTCATCTGTGAACATTTTATTTAAGATATTTTGGTAGCATTTGGCATCTAATGAAAATTTAATATCATCTTCTGTTCTTTTAGTGGTTGCGACTCCATGTCATTGACAAATTCTCGAAAGGGACGTGAAACCAAAAAAATAAAGTCATCATAATAAATTTTTATATTTAAACGAGTAACTGTTCCAAGCACGCATGCTGACCTCATTTCAGAATTTGGAATATAAAGATTGTGGGTTTTTTAATCATTTTTTAAAATTATTTGTTTATCTTAAAATTTCTTGAAAAAATGCATAATATATCAAAAGAAATGCATAATACATCACATTAAAGAAATACATTTTAGAAATGCAGTAACGTCTAACTTTATCGTGTATATCTTTGAACATTCTCCAAGTATCATTTATCATTTGGGTGTGCATTTCAAAGCAGGAATATACAAAATATAATGGATTTCCGCTAGAGATTGTAAAGCAATTGATTTATCTGTAAATACCCATTGCCACCTGCCTATCCCCGACACTTTGTCTTTGCATGTTCGGCATCAGTCTGTCGCACCCTTCCTGAAAGAGTAAGATTCTTTTTCACTAATGATTACATAAATCGCAAACATAGTTTATTTTTGCAGATTCTAGACATCACATTGTGCCATGATATGTACTGAGGTATGCACAAACAATATTCCGATCCGCCAGCCTTACACTTGTTGTTTATTTGATCAGGCCACGAAGGTATTTTCTTCTGTCATAATATGTACTGAATGCTTTAGAGTTACTGTACTGAAGAATTATGTTGAGTAACAAGTAAAAATGAAAACAAACCTCGGAGAAAAAGAAATCAGTTTTGCAAAAGAAGACAAAGGTTCCATGTAATATACATTTTAGTAACTCATTTCTCGGTTCTTTTGACGATTGAAAAATATAAAGATCTAGAGAAAATGCTAGGAAACCTACAGATACTTGTATATCGTAGTTTTTTCTTTTCACAAACTTTGGCCAAAACACACCATGGGTTGACATGTTTCATAGTTTTGTGCTATCTCTCTTAGTCCATCATTTAGTGACGTCATCTCATGCTGAGGAGGGAGGGGAGGGGAAGCATCCGCCTATATGATGACTCAGAGGCGTAGTCACAAACTTAAAAGTGGGGGGGCTCAACTCCAGAAAATCTTTGACAAGCAAAAAAAAAAAAAAAAAAAAAAAAGCCAAACTTAAAAGTGGGGAGGCTCAACTCCAGAAATTCTTTGACAAGCAAATAAAAAAAAAAAAGAGAAAGTTCTCCAAACTCGTAAATCCTATTTCGTGGGGGTTGGGGGGGGGGGGGGGGGGTAGTGGCCAACTTTTTCAAAAGAAGTTACTTTCAAATCCAATTATACAAGGGTAAAAAAGTGGGGGGGGCATTCAATGAATAATTCCTATAGTAAAGGTATTGTTGGGGAAAAATAGCTGTGATTTGGTTCTTCTTTAAAAAGTGGGGGGGGCACAGACATACTCTTGCCCCCCGTGATCTGAAAGTGGGGGGGGGGGCTAGTGCCCCCGCTGCCCCCCCCCCTGTGACTACGCCTATGGATGTTCATCTTAAAATATACACGTATGATACATTTATGTCTGTTTCCGCGCAACTCCTTCAAATATGTTAAAATCTGATCACAGTTTTGAAATACCTTGGAAATTGTATAGCAAATGTTCTGAAAGAAGCTTTTGTATTTTAGTTTAAAACAACTTTTGCATAAATGTGCTGCTTTATAACTAAACCTCTTGTAACAAGCACGCCTGAATTTGGTCTGGGCTATGATATCAGAATTTCTCTATTTATTTAATTTTAATTAATTAAATCAATATTATAAGTATTAAGCAACGATATAAAAATTGTAAAGACATATTTGGAAATTAGATATGAGATTTAAATACCTATAACAACATTTCCAAAGATAGCATTTAGTTGAACGTTTTGCAATTTGTATTGATATTGAAAATGTATGAGTTTAATTCGAAGAAGGATTATATAAGTCCAAATTAACAATGAAAGAAGAGCTTAACAAGTAACTTTTATTACAGCCAGTTTGAAAATATTAGACGATTCTTTGGAGTATATGAGTGTTAATTCCCCCACCCCCATCCACCCCCCCCCCCAAAAAAAAAAAAAAACTCTAAATATTGTCTATGTATCGCCAGTGTAATGCATTTTAAAAAATCGTAGCACATCATAACCCACAATATTTATAGAATGTCAGATGTTGCATTTACTGAATTTTTCAATATGTAGTACTTCAACTGAGTATGTTTACGAACATAGATAATTCTTTTAATAAAAGCAAGATACGTTTGTGAAACACTGATATACCCTGCTGACGCATCTTATCTCCAAAGGTCAAGGTATAAATATAACGTCTTTCAAAAGTATAGGTCAAAGTCCATATGTGAAATGTGAAAGCACTACAGAATATAGCTAGCACCAACCAACCATAAGTCATGGTCAAGGATGATCTTTCTAAAGTGTCTGTAGAACAAACTCTAAGATCAACTGAGATCACGGGGTCAAAAATGTCATGGTTGATAGATCTGTATTAAAAGAAAGGGGGGGGGGGGGCGGGAACACGGACCACACATATAAAATATGAAATGCCTAGCACCAAACATTGATAAATTAAGCCAAGGTTGTTTTTCAAAGTTAGGTAAATATTTCAAATATTACAAGTGAGAATGCAGAAATACATAGGGTGCCAGTGGCGGATCCAGAGGGGGTTGCCCCCCCCCCCCCCACACACACACACTTTGGATTTGTAAAAAAGAGAGAAAGAAGAAAGTCCCTCATTTTTATTGTATTTTTACTACAGAAAATGTTCATTGAAAGGCTAATGTTGTAATATACAAAGAAACAAAATGAAACCCCGCCCCCTTTTCAAATAAGGATTTTCGGGTTTGGAGATTAATTTTCCTTTCCTTTTCAAAAACTTTTTTGGTAATTCATACAAGTATTTTCCCCAGATTGATCAACCTTCTAACTCTTAAAACCATACACCACCATGTATCTTATTGAGTTTTTTAACTACATGTATATATATGTAAAACGTACGTTATAATAACTCTTTTCCTCTTCAGCCCCCCCCCCCTTTCAATCCCCCTTTGAAGAAATTCTAGATCCGCGCATGGGCACCTTATTTTAGAACTATGTCTGTCATTTATATATACAGTCATAAAAAGTACTTAAATGTATTACATATAATCATTAAGAGATGAATTTTACCGCAGTACATGTATGCTTGATGTGATGCGAGTACACGAAGTACATGTAATGAGGAATTATCTTACCCAGTACCCACCCACCCTCATCCTGACCCCCCAAAATATACTGTACATACAATATGATGATGTTTGCTAATATAATGCAAATCATATTATATCGTAAAAACTTAAGCCAAAAAAACCGGGGGGGGGGGAACGAGCTCGATGGAGAAGCAAATATTCCGGAATTATTATGTTTATACGATAACCATTTTCACATTTCTTTGATACTGAACCATTTCCTACTTGATTTCTTCCCGCGAAAGTTTAATATCATGAAAGTAATCTATGAAAATGATGCGTTATTTCTTAGTGTCACCTTCATTTATTAATTTTGTTTTACTTGGTAGCCTACAGTTATCACCAGAATGAGTGGGAATGAATTTGAAGTTGATGGAAATAAGAAATTTAAAAGTTTAAATGAAAGAATTCCTGCTGACCTTTGCGGTTTGGATTTCACATTCCATACATTCAATAAGATGTATATCCAGGACATTATCAATTTGGAAGCTTGTAATGTTATTCCAGGTATGTAATTCATGACTGCAAACGAACGGCAGCACAGCCTTCTAGAATTATAATCTTGAACACATCTTTTGTGATGAAATACATTATTGGTGTCAAATGCTGTGAAATGCATGATCATAAGAAAAAAAGTTTTCTTTATACTTTCCTTTGTTCCCAGCAATGATCTCCTGATTTATTTACACATGATTTTCTTCATGCCTTACCATAATAATTATTTAATATGATTTAGTAAAGGTTTTTAAGAAATCAGGGTCTAGTCTGTCATTATGGGTTACTGCGTCAGCTAACCTATTTATGGTTTGTTCCAGTGTTGCAAAATGCACATGAAAAATCAGGTTTAACTTTCTTTTTTTCTTTGATAGAATACATGTATGTACTATGTTTAAAACAAAGTAAGTTTTTGACAAACAAGTTGATGAAACATGAAAATCAGCAGTCTCTTTTAAAGTCGTCATTTTGTTAGTTCTATGGTCAATACAATGGCCTTGTCAGCTAATTCAATCTATCATTACATCAAATGCTGACTGAAGTGTTTCATATAAATTGTTACATGAAGGCCATTATTTACATCTACTGAAATGTTGACAGATTTTTCTCTTATGACAAGGAGCACACGGCAGGTGTGACCGTTTAGCAGGGGATGCTCACTCTTCTGTGACACCCCGTCCCACCTCTGATGTTTGAGGGTCTGTTTTTGCTCCCTTCCAACTTTGTAATGTTTGATGGACTTTTGGGCTTGAACATCTGAGATTTTTTATCTCCATGTATATGCATCAAATTTATGAATAAATAATATTATTATACTACTTAAGGAGTAGTTTTTTATTATGTCCTATTGATTTTGTTAAAGTTTATGTCAGTTTTAATCAATATTAATTTATGATCATGATTTTTATTTTTACAACAAAGGCTTCCCAGCATAGGAGTGTATAATGAATTAAAACAACTCAATACTTTTACAATTTTCCAGAAAATTAGAGAACTCAAAAGTTGGGAGAAATTGGTTTTGAATTTTATTTT